TCCAGAAAGAGTGTCTAGAATGTCATCAATTCTAGGAAGAGGGTAACTGTCTTTCTTGTAACCTCATTCAAACCGGCGATAGTCAACGCAAAATCTTGTTGAGCCGTTCTTCTTTCTGACTAAGACGATGGGAGATGCCCATGGACTCGCTGAAGGCTCGATGACATCGCCTTCTTCCATATCTTTTAACAGTGTTCGCACCTCTTCCTGTTTAGCAAACGGTTAGACGTCTTGGATGTTGCTTGATCAGGGGATGATCGCCAGTAGTATCTATTCTATGTTGTGTCAAACTAGTTCGACCCACGTCAGAAGACGAGCGGGGGAAAGAAAACAACTTGAAGATCTTTAATGACGCGATCGGCAAGCAAGATTTTTCTCTTTATCGTTTAATTGTGCATTCTGCAATAACTCCGATGTTTATGAATGCTCTCTGAGGGACACGGATTCTGAGATGTTACTCTTTCTTTCAACGCTGGTTACTGGAGTACATGTTGCAACCACTTCACCTTTCTTAATAACTCTCGACTTTCAGTTACATTGGCGACTCTCACCGGGATAAACCGTTCTGGATATAGGTCGACGAGTGTTGAGGCTACTAGTACTACTCCTTTTGGGATATTACAGTTATTGGGATATTCTATGATGCCATAGCGGAAATTTCTATTTTCGGCTATGGATCCAGGAAGTTAAATTTCTGTTCTTGCCGGTATTGTGATATAGTCTTGTGCTATGATTTTATGGACAGATTTAACTTCTTCATCAATAACGAGAAATAACGCTATGTCCTCAGATGTAGAATCCAATTCGTTATTTTTAAAATCTAAGGAAAAATTGTATTTCCTTAGAAAGTCCAATCCGAGTATGCAAGAATCAGTGATCTCTGCTACATATGCCGTGTGATGGTAAGCGGCACTTCCAAACGTGATGTTAACATTTACTTTTCCGTCGATGTCGATCTTCTCACCGGACACAGTCTGGAGGGTAACGCAGGGCAGGGCGGCGTCCAGATAAGTTTGTTTCCTAGTTGTTTGAGCCAAATCTTTTCGGATGATGGTGACGTTGGCTCCTGTATCGATAGTCATATTGCACGGAACTCCATTAATATGTCCTATTATGAAAAGTCCATTACTGCCGCCTCTCACTGCAGAAATCTGAAGCGCTTTTAATTAAACGGGGGCTTTTCATTATCTGGCAACCTCCGCCCCGAGCGAGATGGCCACTAATTAGTTTCCCTGCTGCTTGTTAGAAGCGGTCTTAAACATCAGTACCCTGGGGTGGTGTTTTGCAGTTTCGTCGTATGGTCCTTCAGCACCGCAGTTCCAGCAATTAACGGTCGGTTTCTTCTCACCAAATATTCCGTCTCAAGGCGTTCAGTTGTCTAGTTAAATCGTCAAGTCGAGCAGTGACTTGATCCCCTGGCTCCTGGACTTGAGCAGCTCTGACTGGGTGGCGGGGTCTCGACGAGTGGCTTGCTGGGCTGCCTTAAATTTCATGGCGTACACTAGAGCACTTTTTTTTTAAATCTTTTGCATCCGCCATTCGTAGTAGAGCTTTCTGTATTTCAGTATGTCGGATGCCGTCGATAATAAAGTATTGCAAGGGACAGGATTTCCCTTGTTTCTGTCGGGCATTCCGAAAAGGCGAGATGGGACAGCCTTTCAACATCCGCGGCGAGCTCCTGAAGTGTTTCGGTAGGCTTCTGTTGACGAGATTTTAATTGGAGCCTGCTGTGTAGTCTTTTAAAACACTTCTCCCCAAAGCGCAACTCCAAAGGCGCCGGACAGAGCTTCGAAATCTAACCTTTTTGTTTCGGGAAGAGTCTGAAGGATATCCGCTGCGTTGGCTCTTAGAGAAGCAGCGAGATGACAGGCCTTAGCTTGGGAATCCCATCCATTCGCATCCGCCACGATAGAAAATTGTGTGTCTTATACACCTGCCAGGAGGGTCTTCCCATCATATGTCGATAGCTTCAGAGGTGGACGAGCAGAGGTATTGGTAAGAATTTAAAATCATCACTCCTGCTCCCTGCCGACGCTACGAATTTCTCTTAAGTAAAGTATCCATTTCTTTGGCAACTGCAGAAACTCTCTCATCAATTTGTTGTTCGATTTGGTGTTTGGACGGCACAAACTCTTCCTTCAGTTCGTTCCTCCACAGCAGAAAGTCTCCCTTCTATACGTTCTTTACAGAAGAAAAACTCTTTCTTCTATTTCTTCTTTCACCGAAGAAAACTCTTTTCTCAATATGATCTTTTATGGAAGAAACTTTTTCTTCAATATGTCCAACTTTATTTTCAACTGCGTCAATCTGCCTTCCATAGCTTCAAATTTATTTTCTATTATGCAAGTAATTTCTCTTTTCATTTCTTCTTGACCAGCTTGACAGCTTGAACAGCTTTCATTTCGTCCTTCTTAACGGATTTCCTGGCCAATTTCATTTCATTTCTTCCTTAAACGGATTCCTGGCCCAATTTCATTTTCTTCCTTTAACGGATTCCTGGCCCAATTTCATTCCTCTTTAATTTCTTCTTTAAATGAGGGCAAAGGCTGATATTAACTGCCTTAATTGCTCTTCCATCTGCATTCAAAATCCCACTTCTGACACCAAAAATTGTTGTGTGCGTACGGGTTCGTTATGAAATGAATGCACAAGTCCGATGAAAAATGAATAAAAATTTATTATTATTACAAACAAAAATGCTTAAAATTTTCTCAAATTATCATGCAGTATTACAATATCTCACACAGTAGTTATCTTTTTTAACTACTCAAATGTACAATAGAAAAACATAATTCAAAACAGCTAAAGAACGCTAATCCGCGAATTCGCTATAATCAACAACAGCAGTTTTCTAAACAAAACAAACTAAGCAACTACTACAAACTGAGATGTTTTTCTCCTTTTATAAGATTTTAAAATCACGCGCTAGAATTTTCCAGTACTTTCTCGAAATCAAAAAGAGATATTTATTTATTTAATGCACGCGCTCTTGTATTTTCAATTTTCCGGCTTAGCTTTCTTTTAATATTCATCACCCGCTGCACTGCGCGAGAAATAAAACCATTTAATTTATAATTGAACTAACATTAGCTTTTTAAATACCAAATTCGTAACAATATATACATATTAGCGGGTAAGCCTGGCAGATAAAGCAGGCTTTTCAAGCAAACAACCAAACCAATTCATAAGTAAAATTTTTGTTGTAAAATTAGTATTTTCAGAGTTTTTAATTAATATCTCAGCTGATTAAAATCGAAGATAAGAATGGTCAAAAATAGCTTCCCACAAATTTTTAGAATCTGGGGGTACATCTCTTGAAACTCCCTGCTGTTCCAGGCAATGATGTTAACAACACACAGAAAGATGCACACAGATTTTAATAGTATAGATTATATTCAACTCTACAATTATATAATGAAAAACCTGCTCAAATGTATATTTGCATATTTCTTTATGTTCCTTGCATTGTGGGGAAAATGACTGCACCTAGAGCTACTAAATTTTGAGCACATTTAGTCCTCCATCTGAACATGTGTACCTCAAAGCCGGAATTTATTTTAAATTTATTTCACATTTTGTTTGAATTTAACAAATTTTTTTATTAATCAATTCAGTGGTTTGAAATCGAGCAGCGGCAACATAGTTTGAAATAAAACTATTTTGTCTCCAAGGTGTGAGACTTGCTATTCAGCAAAATGTGAGATATTAGTCTTTCAGAATTAATCAACCAACTCGGGTATTTAAAAGCAATGTTTTACCACTGCCTGAAATAAAATAGTTTTGCTTTCCATGTGCCAGTATGTTACCATTCATTAAAGTGTTAAATACTTAATGCTCAAACTTAATCTCAGCATTACTGATTTACAAACTAAGCGATTTAAAATCAATATATGCAGTTCATATGTTTTTTTAACTTTTTAATTTGATTGATTTAAATAAAAATACATTTAAATTTCATAAAAATATTTATTACACTCACTGGATTCATTAAAATCACTATGCATTTTTCTGTTTTATAATAACTATTTTAGACGGCTGGCCTCACAAGCTGCTAGTTATACATATAATATAGTTATCTTTTCATGAAGCTTTACATATCATTAGGGTTACTGTCATCAACTTATATTTCACACCAATATTTATGTCTGGCACTAAGTGGCGCCTCATTAACAGAAAATAACAGCATTTTTTACTGATAAATACTGAAGTATTATATAAAATAGTAGAATTACAAAATTAAGCAGGTGCATTTTAATCAATGAGCATATATATTACTAGCTAAATTTGCTCCCAAGTCTATGTTTTTAAAAAACAGGCTTTATTTTAGACAAAGTATGCTTTGTATATTTGCATGAATAAATAGTAATACAAAGACTTTAGCCAATGATACATAAAGCACAATTTAATTCAACTCGCTTTCAATAACAATTAGTTTAGGTTACATTGGGGATATTAAATTTCTTTTACATTTAATATAAGCGGTATTAAAATGCATGTTTTTCATTCCTGTAAATCATACACATTTTTTTTTATATGTGTCACTTTATCTTGTGAATTACTATACATTTTGTAAGTATACCATCATCTTCACAAGAAGAAGCATTTAATGAATAATTTTTCCAATTTAAAGTGAACAGAATTTTAATGTTACTTGCCAAATTTTACCTTCACTATTTTTTTATGAACTCTCTCAAATAATCTAACTTCTCAAATCTCTCTAATTTTTGCAGAAAAAAGGTCAGCAAAGTCGGATTCTAATTTTAGCAATCAATTTTTATTAATTCCGAATTTTTATAAATGGTGCATTTAAGCAATTGAAAAACTACTGATTAACAAAGTCTAAATAAAATCTGTTCAAATATCCATACAGAAAAATTCAAATATTGATTTTTTACACATAAACTGAAAATTAAAATTCTAATAACTATGTGTAAGTCAATATTTTTAATCAACAAAAATAGCACTATTATATTAAAAATGTCTTTATAAATATTACTTACACATTTATCTTTCACAACAATCCCTTCTAAGCCTTGCTTCTTAACAGATGTAATAAGAGACTTCAGTACTTTGGGATCCTAAAAGTGAAAATTTCAATTAAGCAGTAAATTAAACTATGTTAAAAAAAATATATTTAAATAAACAGATTTATGAAATTAATCTTACTTTGTTGTTGAAATATACAGAATATGAAGGAAAAAGTAATAAACAAATTCTGCTACTTCATGATAAGAAAAAATTTTTAAAAAAATATATATATTGTAAAATTTGCTGACTTATCTCATTTATCTAACAGTAACATCACAACAAGCCCAGGAAATGCATCGTAGCAAGAAATGCAAGATTGCTTCTGTCATTGGAAGAACCTTGGACACCATACAGGTAGCAATACATTTTTGATTAGTTCAATCCTCTATTTTGATGAACAGCACACCAGAGGGATGGGTTTGTGAGTCTCCCACCAACTCTTTCCCTACCACCAACCTCTCAAGAGGACTTCTGTACCCCTATGCCACACAAACACTATACATTTATAAACATGCATGCCTTCTCCGGGATTTGAAACCAGGACCGTCAATATGGCAGTCGGCATTGTTAACCACTATCCGGTTGGACGGCATAAAAAATTTACAAGTGTTTATTACACTTCTTACAAACTTTTTGCAATTATTAAAATACTAATTCCCTGATTACTTTTGACTAATTTCCTTTAAAATATTACAATCAGATTGGTGCTTATATTGCAGATCAAAGCACACAGTATTTAAAAATTAAAAATGCCAGACTATTTTTAAAATAGTGAGAGGATGGTAAAAGTCTAAACACAAATTTTTATTTATAGATTCATTTAAAAGTGAAGAGGTGAAATGGTATATTATAAGACTTGTATTATAAGAAAAATATGTTTTGGTTCAAGCAATAAACACAGCAAGTATTAATACATAATATCTTTTCAAAGACTATTTCATGGAAATGCTACAGCAACAATGCAATTTAGCAGTGCAAAAATACTGGAGGAAAATAACTTTGTGCAGTTAAATGATTAAAAAAAAAAGTTCAACATTACAATTAGCACAAATAAAGCAACAGAAGTATATTGCTTAATGTTGAAATTGTAGTGTTCTCTCAAAAGAAGAGCGGATGGCTCCAGACAAGACTTTTCATCCTCAAATGAAAACTGCATCATTAACAAGATTTGTTCTGCAGAAAAATTTCAGAAACTTCTGAAAATTCCAAACTGAAATGTGAATAAAACAAATAATAATTCTGGCTTCCGACAATTGAAATGATTTGGCTTCTACTGCAACAATGAAAGCTATTGAAGACTTTTTCATCTGTTTAATATACCTACATATTCAATTATCCTAAAATTTAATGATCTACAGGTTTATCATATGCAAATTCATATTCATAAGAAATTTTATAAATGCTCCTTCATTCATCAGTACATTTTTCACTGGAAACAATTTCAACAACACGGAAATATCAATTAGCTCTTCGACATGAAAAAACAATCTTCTTCCTTGAAAGAAAAATATGCCCATTAAAAGAAAAAAAGAAAGAAAGAAAAAAATCTGAAAGGGTTCAGATTTTAAATTACGTCCAAAGGAGCTTTTTTTAACATTTTGTGTGTTACCTTTATTTATTAAATATCACGTTCTACATATTCAAAACTATAAAATTCAGCTCAACAGCAATATCCCAAATTAATTTTTAAATAAGCATATCTTTAGAATTTCCCCTAGAGTCTCCCCACTGGAGATAAAAATGTTTTTTTCGCACAGTGTTGCCATTGCTCGCTTTGAAATCATTAAGTTTTTTAATAAAAAATTCACTGAAGTGTTACAAAATATGAAATCAATAATAAAACAAATTTCAAATTCAAATTAGGGCTTCCACAGGCCCATATTCTATGGAAGATTACGTTATTCAAATTTTGATGGCTCTAGGTACCGTTGTTTTATCACAATGTGAGAAACATACATACATTTATGCAAATTCTTCATTATTTCATTTATTTAAATATAAGACAAGGAGATAATATATGGTGGCATCGATTTAAAAAATGATACAGCCCTTTAGAGTTTTCAACACAAAATACCAAAACAAAATTAATAGTCCTTCAAGGTAAATTATGCCTTTGGACTAAAAACTGTAAATAGGAATATTTTAATCAAGTATTTTTTATCAGAAAAATACAGAAGTGTGCTATATAACAATGAGAATCACTCAATACTGCCTAATGAAAAGAAATGACATCACAAAATTTAGAATTAATTCATATTTATGAACAATAATTTTTAGTAAATTTAATTTTACATGTAAGACAATAAACTTAGCAACAAACATATATTTAAAACCACTTGTAATAACCATTGCATGTTTCACACAGTTCTGCAATAAAGCTTTGCTATGACTAAATCTAAATTTTATAAAAAAAGCATGTGATTTCAATGAAAAAGGGAAAATGAAACTGCTCAGATAAAAAAATGTACATGGAATGGCAACTTACTGTAACTTCCTTTATTTCTGAAAACATTATATGGTTTTTTACAGGTGTCATGTTTTTTTCTAATAATTTCCTTCTTTGGTACAAGGGTCTAAAAACAAACATTTTAAAACATGAAACAACACAGCTTTGATAAAAGATTTTATGTAAATGAAACTTATAGATAAAACTTACTTTTGCATTAAATTTTCATCATTAAACTGCAAGCAGTCAAAAACAAATAAGCAGACAGATGCATCTTTAAATGCAGTTTTCTAAACAAAGAAATTATTCATCAGAAGTACTCAAATATAAATAGGTTTAAATAATGCTTTGAAAAAATTTAAATGCAATACCTTCCTTATACATGTTATTTATTTCATATTGCAATATTACTTTAAGACATTAGATATATGTTTAAACATATTAATTAATTTTAAAAGAATAATGGAAGTAACAAAAAAGGATGTTACTGAAACTGAACAGAATATCATAACCCTAAAATATAAATATTTCCCAGCACTAATTCTTTTGTATTCCACAGTCTTCCCCTTCTTTTTTCTTCACATTTCTAACAAAGTTATCTTTACTTGTCACATACTGTGTTATCACTGTTCAGGTCACATACTGTGTTATCACTGTTCAAGTCACATACTGTGGTATCACTGTTCACACATAACTGTGTTATCAAATTTAACTGCAGCATTTTAACATTCCATTAAGGTACTCCTTTTTATTCTCTTTATCCGAAATGACATATTATATAAAATCTAACATTTCAGTAAAATAGTTCTAAAATTTTTCTTCTTTATTCTCACTTCCTTTTGACAGAACTTATGACTAATCAGAAATACTTTCAAATAATTTTACTTACAGCCCCCCCCACTTGATCAATGCATATAAATTAGTTGAATAGCATTCCCCAAATGCATGCATTTTCTGAATAAATTATAAAATATTATTGCATATAACTTCTGGAAAATCAAAATGAGATTTTAGAAATTTTAATAAAAATTTCATTTGAACAAATACTCTAGCACATTATTTTTTGTGTAACTTTATAGTTAACTACTACAGCAACTTTATAATTAAACTATCCTAGTTTAAAGTAATTAAAATATATACATATTTACCTTGTGTGCACCCAGAGTTCCAAAAGGTAAGGGTTTACCATCATTACTTACAAGTAAAATTTCAGCATCAAGAATTAAATTATTTCCATGAGGAAAAGCTTTTGGTATGTAATTCTTCAGATGCTGCACCTAAAGTTTGAAATAAATAAAAACTGCTAAATTTAAAGATTAACACTAAATTTAAAAAAAAAATTAATAAGTTGTTGTTGTTGTTGTTTTCCATTTTAATTTTATCTCCCATCACCTAGAGCCATCAAAATTTGAATAACGTAATCTTCCATAGAATATGGGCCTGTGGAAGCCCTAATTTGAATTTGAAATTTGTTTTATTATTGATTTCATATTTTGTAACACTTCAGTGAATTTTTTATTAAAAAACTTAATGATTTCAAAGCGAGCAATGGCAACACTGTGCGAAAAAAAACATTTTTATCTAGTGTGGAGACTCTAGGGGAAATTCTAAAGATATGCTTATTTAAAAATTAATTTGGGATATTGCTGTTGAGCTGAATTTTATAATTTTTATCAGACAAAGAAAAGACTTATGAAAGAGTTTTTCCTAGAGCAGTTATTTTTTATTTCACAATACAGTTACATAGCACACTAAACTTTAAATTCATATGGAAAAATCACAAAATATGGCTGTTAGAAAAAAGCGTTATATGTAACTTAAAGTATTATTCTACAGCTAACTCAGATCATGCATTTAAATTCTACCTCTATTCACTTTATCTATTTGATTATATGATTGAAATGCGGATAAATTTCAATTTGTAAAATGGCTGTTAATTTGTAGTGACAACTGAAAGAAAATACAAAGTATTGTATTGTATTTTGATACTGAATAATAAATATCAAGTCATCCCAAAAGTTCTGCACTTTTCAAATCAAAGTGCATTTTCTTACTATTATTTTCTTACTGCTTACACGGAATGACCTTGATCGAGCCAGATGTTTAGACATAATCTTTTCTACGCACGTTGCATAATTCTAGCATGTGCTGCAGCATATTTTGCTTTCAGTGCACTGCTAAGAATGGAGAAGGCAAAAGCTCATTTTTATTATGTTATTTCAAAGAAGGAAAATTGCTAGTCAGATTGCTCATAAAATTTGTCCTGCAGATGGAGAAAATACTGCTTCTGAGAACACAGTTTGAAGTAAGGAAATTTCAGCCTCAAAGAACATGCCCACTCTGGATAACCCTCCTCTGCAAACAAGCACCTATTAAAAGAAGCTATTGCTGAAAATCCACTTTATATTGTTCAGGAATTATCAGGTAAACTAAATATTCCAAAAAGTATAGAACAAGATTATTCAAAGAAGACTAGGTATGTAAGCTGCTATGATGCATGGGTACCCCATAATTTAACAGAGTATGTTTGCTCAAGTTTCGGCACACAAGTCTTTGCTAAAAAGAAATAAAGAAGTTCCCTTTTCTTTTTTCTTTTTTTTTTTTTTTTTTTTTCAAAAGATGTGTTACTGGAAATGGGAAGTGGATCCCATATAATATCCTATAGAATGATACTATACAAGGAAAAGGTCATGAAGTAAGACTAAAGAATCTCCTTTAGAAATTTCAAGAGAAGGCCTGCATTCCAAGAAAGTAATGCTTTGTACACGGTGGAACCATAAAAAAATTAATGCTATGAATTGTTGCCACCAAATCAGACAAATTCAAAAAAAAAATTCTTCCCAAATGACAGTTTTAAAAGCAGAAATCAAAGCAAAGCAATTATAACAGACATATTACTGAGGTGTTGTCTTCCATCATGGCAATGATCAGCCCCATATTTAACTGAATGTCACACAAAGACTTATTGAGTATGGGTGGAATGCTTCGCATCACTTCCATATTCACCCAACTTTGCCCCAGCTGATTTTCACTTCTTCAAATCATTTCAAAATTCTCTGAATTGTTTGCAGATAATTTCCTTGGAGATTTTCAAACAGCACCTTGATAACTTCTTTCTGAATAAACATAATGACTTTTCATAAAAAGGGAATTTTCCAGCTATAGGAAAAGAGTCAAAATGTCATAAAATAAAATGGTGCTTGTGTAATTTAATGAAATTTTCTTATTTTTTTTGTGTGCTGTTTCATTTGCATTTATCATCAAGAAAGAAACATATCATACAGGAATATAATATTTGATAACTTTTTTGTCATTTTTAAGGTATTATTATAGCAATTGCTGATTTATTTATTCCAACTTCAAAAAATTTTTTTAATAATTTTGAGTCATTCATACAAATTATCCCTTAAATTTACCTTCAGTTAATATCCAGCATTCTCTTTACTTTTAATCCCTTAACTGCCGCGGAAAGCGTACAAGATTCATTCCCCAGTGCCACGGTTTTTCACATATACGCGCGTAGTTATGCGATTTATTAGGGGGAAAGTAAGAGCAAGTTTTACTTTCTAAAAATTGTTTACTTTCACAAAATAAACAGTAAAAGAAAAAAAATGCATGCACAAAGTTTAATATTTTGAGTAAAAAATATACAAAAAGGATGTTTTTATAAAAAAAAAGTCCCTATAATGGGTTTTCGATCAATTTATTTTTAGACCAGTAAAGTGTAATATCATGTTTCAGTGTTATATACCTTGTGAAATCAGTATGCCTATAAAAACATATATTTCTTCTGAATTGGTTGAATGCCACGATATCGTTCTTATTTTCATCATTGCAAGGTGTTGTTGTTCATATACTCGTCTACAAAACGGTTAGTTTCAGTAGCAATATAAAGCACGAGCAGTTCATCAAAAAATAATTCAAGAAAGATAAATGGGTTTGAAACATCCATTATATCTTTCTTTATTCCTGGAACCTACTACAAAAAAGTAAACGAAAACGGAGGACACAGAATAAAAAAAAAAAAAAAAAAAAATACGTTTTACTCAAACAACACTAGTTAATACCACGCAGTCATACTTTTTCAGCACTTTAGACACGTCCCTCTCTCCAATTTCTCCCCCCCACTTCTCTGAAATAATATCCTCCTTCACATACTTCGTCAAGGTCATTCTGGTGTTGCATTCCAAAAGTTTGCGAATAATTTAACGGGTAGCAGCGCAAAGCAACTGATAGTATTTTGTAAGGGCGTATATATACGCCCGGGGCAGTTAACGCATCGGCTGAGCAAGGCGTATATATACGCCCGCGGCAGTTAAGGGGTTAATCAAGCTCTCTTAACTGTATAACATTTCCCCCTGATCTATCGGAAAAAGAAATGATTTTAATTTGTTCCTGTCCACAAAATAGCAAATTCTACTACAAGAACAAAAACTGGATTTCTTAGTCTCTCTCTCTCTAATGAAATAGGCTAATATATTACAGCTTCTCATTTTCATATATCTTACTAATAGAGTATTCTGTAGTGTCCAGTGTAATACTGCATTACTGATTATGTTACATATGTCAACACTTTATATTACACTATGTTAGGTAGTGTTGCAAACTATGGGTTCATGGCTGTCTCTTTAAAATATCAACATATGTTATCACATTATATTAAGCTATGTTAGATAGTGTTACAAACTACAGGTTCATGGATGTCTCTTTAAGATATCACTCCATGAGAATTTGATAATTTATTGGAAAATATTTGATAAAAAAATTATAATTTATTGGAAAAGAATACAGAGCATAGCAAATTTAAAAGTAGACAGCAGATAATAAATAAATTCTCCTTAGCACATGAGAAATTTCGTAAACTACCAGTATCATCCTCAGAGTAAACTCTAGTTATATTCAGCTAATGCCCTACATCAGTCTCACAGACCTGAGTTGATTGACTTCTCCTGTTTCTCAGTGTGACATTTATATGGTGTTGCATGGGTTCCTTTAAGAGAAATCAATATTAGGACTTTAAAAATGTGTTTCTGCTACTTGATCAGTGGGTAGCTTCCAGTATTGATTCAGTGTTGCATCACATTTGTGCGATCAACATCACTAGATGAAGTTGAAAATACAACCTTAAATTTCTCTATTAAACAACTTGCAGCTTGAACTGAATTAGCTTTTAATTCTATGCTTGGAATCAAACGTTTTAATTCAGATGAGGTGTGCTTCTAATCAATGGAACTTCACACGACAACTGTCACAAGTGAACATAAAGCAATTTCCTCTGCTTTCATTAAAATATTTACCTTGTCACTTACTTTGGCAACTCTGATTGACAGATTCCTTTTTGTACAGCAGCCTGAAGCGAAGTCCTTTAGAATGTGTATTTTCTTTAGCAAAATCGGTAATTCTCAGGAGTGTTCATTGTTCCCCTAACAATGCACTCTGTTCTGGAATGGGTGGTAATACTGTCATAAGTAATTAAAGCAGCAAATATTATTATCATCTACTTTAAACTTCAAAATCTCTTCAGTAGAGGTATGCAACTGATTATTTTTGGCATCCAAAAAAAATTTGTATTTCCTTAGAAACTCAAGACTGATGATGCATAGATCTGTTATACCTGCCACTGTATGCTCATATACAAAAGATGTGACCTTGACATGCACGTTTGTATTTTTCTTGTACATTCTGTCGTTTTTGACATTTTATTATCATTCCCAGTTTGTAAAATTAAATATGGAACTATATACGAGAGGTACCAGTTCAAATATTAGGCTAAATTTACTTGCAGAATAGTTAGTTATATTTTCTCTAGCATCTACACTATCATGTGGGTGAAAACCTGTTGATTTCTCTTTCCATGCACAGCCCTTGATATCCAACTTAAAGTGAAAATATTTGAAGAACATTAAATGGAACACTTTCTGTATATGGCAACCTCTGACCCTTGAGATGGCTACTTATTTGCTTCCCTGCAAATCTCTCAACATCTTTTTGATCTCTGGACTGAAGGCACACAGTATTGTTTTTATAAATACGTTTCTTTATTACAGTCTACAACTTTATTTTACTGTTATTACTGTATCCTTTTGCTTTAGATACATCCACAGCTACCAGTCTTTTTATCAACTGTGTTACTGATTTCAGCACTAAGTCTTTCATACTGTTGACATCCCTTACAAATCAATAGACCTTTCCAACTGCCATTTTAGTTTCCACAGGGGCGTAGCTAGATTTTCCAGAGTCCGGGGACAACTGAAGAATTTGCTCCCCTTTCGGTGTGCCAAAAATGGAAAACATTTCATTAAAAAATTTCGTAGCATGAATTTGGCACCCTTTGAATGCTGCGCCCGGGGACAGATGTTCCCCCTTGCCCCACCCTAGCTACGCCACTGAGTTTCCACTTTCACAGTATGGACTAGAGTATCCTTCAGATTTCTATTAGCAGCTATATGGAGTGTTTATTACATATAACGATCCCTAATAGCATCTTGTATATACTGGAGTGTGCCTAATTTCCAGGTTGCAATATGGACATGTGAACCAAGTTGATTTTTCGGTGTTAGCTGTTAGATCCTGAACGGTTTCTCCAGCTCTTTGTTATTAGCTATTAAACTGTAGTCAGTGATAGCTCTTGAGAAATTTTGAGAAAAACCAGTCATAAAATATTAACATCTGAATGTTTTTCAGCTGAATTTTTCAGTAAGGTGTTTCTCACCACATAAAAGTAGTTAAATTTAGGAATTTGGTGATGCTTCGTTTTAGCTGCTTTTTTTATGTGGAAAAAGTCAAACTCTTTTCATAAAAAAAGAAGCTGAATTTATGGATTTGGTGATGGCATTCCACTGATTTGTATACAAATTAATTTTTAAATGCATTTTGTATGCATTTCTGAATGATTTCCCATCATACAGTGAGAGTTTGATTACATATTATGGTTTGACATGATTCAGGCAGGATGTGACTAAGCAAAATGAACTAGAACAACAAACTCAAAATCTGAGGTAGTATGCTGTTTACCAATACAGCAAATTCCAGTATTTCTTTTTTAATCTCAGTATTCTTCTACCTCTTGTTAGTAGCAAGAATTTCTTCAGTGACATTCTCTAACTCTTTTTCCATTTTTTTCTTCTACAGTGGCTGCTTTCTCATTTATAGTATTCACAATTTTACCTTTAACAAAAATAATGTTTTCTTTCACTTCTGCATTTGTTATTACTGTGTTTGTTCTTCATTTCAGGATGGGCCACGAAAGTACTTTCGTTCCTGCTGCGTCCTTCCTCATCTCAGTGGTATTTCTTGCAATCTTTTTTTCATTTCAGGTTCTATCGAGGTCTTTATTTCAGCAGCCTAAGCTGTTTTTTGTTTTCTTTGACTATAAATTATTCCTATAATGGCTTTCAACTGCTCTTTCATTTTCTTAGTTATTAATTATTATTACACCAGTGATTGTGAACTAGGAGTTTGTATTTATAATAAGTCACTCCATATATAAGCTGGAGGAGATTGACAATTCACAGGAAAAGAATGCAGCAGACAACAAAAATTAATAGCTGTAAATAGCTCAAGAAGAACTTAGATAATAAACAAATCCTCTTTAATACACACCAATATTATAAATTATTGTAAATTACCAATACTCTCGTAGCAAACTTTAAAATGCTAATCAGTTGTAAAGTTTCAGAGCTGCAAAGTTAGCAAGAAATCACCACATGTCACCAACTTCACAATAAAAATTATTACCATGGCCCATCGAAAGCTTTCGTGCCCATATTTTGCATTGCAGTTGAACTAATTTAACTATTTAAACGCTATCAGTTTTAGAATTGAATGATCCACAATCCTACGCAAAAAAAAAATTCTTCTATAAAAACATGCAATCACAAATTTAATATATTAAAAAATAAACCCAAAAACTGTAAATAAAAAAAATTAAACAGGCAAACAAATAAAGCAATACAAAATGTCACAGCAATAAATGCGATCAAATGGACTTAAATATTTTTTTTAGAAATTTACAACAGCATGTTATTTAGTAATACAAAATATAATATAATATATGGTGTACTTTTTCTGAATAAATTATGTACTTTTTTACACAAAATTAATATAATTTTTACTCACCTTATGTTGCATTACAGGCTTTAAACTACGACTGAAGTAACTAAATTCCGTTCCTTTTTTATGAACCTGAATTCTTTCCCCATCATATTTGATCTCCACATACAATCCATTAGGACATCTTTTAAAAGCTTCATCAACAGATTTGCAAATCATGGCCTATAAATTCAAAGAATTGCATTCAACTAAGCTGTATTACTGTAATATTAAGGAATTCCGTTCACATTTTTAGAGTAATAATGAAAATTAGTTTCATTCATTCTGTAATGTAAGCTAAAATTACATACATTTTGATATTATACAATATTATAAATGCATAGAAATAATTACCAAAGTTCAGTACAACGAATGCAACTCTGATTATTTTCATTTGTGTAAATAATTTACAAATCAAAAAAAGCATAAATGCACTTAAATAATTAATTTTAAACACTTAAGCACTTAATTTTAAATATTCCTTTTTGCAAAAAAGATGCTTCTAGAATTGTGAAAGAACTGCAAGACAGTGCAACTGAGGTGTGCTATGTGGGATTCAGGTCCAAAGAATATGTAGGCTATGTCATGTATTCTTTGCACATACAGTTAAGAAATATATAATTGCTGGTACTTACATACTATGACGACTACCTAGATATCTCGCCAAAACTGGCGACCCTTGTAGGTTTATACAGGTTAACCCTAACATGGCTTATAGAAGGTGCTCAAATAAAGAGTATTATTCTGCACTTGCTATTACCACATTTTTTTTTTTTTTTTTTTTTTTTGCTACATTTACGCGGATTATTACGTTTAAGTTAAACACGCAAAACTTTTTGTGATTATTTCTTTCCCAATGGATATAAACACTTTCCAACTTCCTTTAACCCTTTGCGGCATGGTGGGTCAATATATGTCCTACCTAATTAATATTTATTTTCTCAGTTAGCAATTTCGTTTGAAAATTTCTAATCTTTTAAAAAAAATAATCTATTTTATTTTTCTCAGTAGATGTTACTATTATACCAGGGCTTAAGTTTATAAGCAAAAAATATTCAAAATAGGATCACAAGAGTGATATACATGTATCTTGCATTTTTCAATATTTTAAAAATTTTGGTATACAATTTATGATATGTGATTCTTTTTAATATTCAAAGGTATTTTATTTTCAAAAATCTTAATTGGATTCAATATTTTATAACATTAATTTTGCAGTTGAAATAAGTGGGTTAAAATTTGTCCCACCACACACTTGAATTTCCGCTCAATAGATGGCAGCACTCACAATTATTATTATTATTATTATTATTATTATTATTATTATTATTTTTCTTTTTTGCTTTTACTTTTTTCGTGATTGCGCGCGCTTTTACATCCGTTGTATGCTCCGATGTGCTAAAATGTCAGAAAAAAAATTAACAAAACTCAGGAAGCTTTGGATCTTTTTTGCTGAATTGCCATCCGATTGCGACTCAAATGCTTCAGATGTTAGTTCTGAATTCAGATGAAAATTGAAAATCCAGGAAAGAATAACTGAGGTTGAAGTTATTGCTGAAGAAGAAGGGAAGTAGTTATAAATTTTTTTCGCTTTTTAAAGACACAGACCCATCTATGCATGTGGCACTGTAAATATGGATCGGAAGTATCTACCCAAAAATTTAAAAGACAAATTTATGTCAAGAGAATATATAGACTTTTCAATTAGCGATGATTTATTGCATAAAAACGAAGGATAAAAGATCCGTTTCTATCCTGTCTTGCTTGGAAAAGGCAACTGAAATGAAAGAAATTAATAGAAAACAACGAGATGGAAAGACAAAAAAAAAAGTACTGTACCCAAAAAGCATTATTTCATATAATAAGAATATGGGATATGTTCGACTTATGATTGATCAACTGAAAGGACTATATGAAATAGACCAGTAAAAGCAAGAAATGGAGGCACAGGATGATTTTTCTCCTTTTTACTTTTTAGATGCGAGTATAGTAAACACATTTATTCTATTTAAGTTTGTTCGCAAACCCAATCATGATGTAAAAACAATGAAAGATTTTAGTCTCTCAGTTTTAGAAGGTCTAATGGCACTTGCAGGCAAGAAAGAGCTGAAAAATTAACTGAAATCCCCAGTTCAAATAAAAACTAAAAAACCCGTTTCGTACAACCAGAAAGAGACTAAAAAATGTAAGTCACAAACCAAAGAGAACGAGCAGGCAGAAGATGTGCATATTGCAGCACATCAAAAGAAGAACGACGAACATTTTGGATGATGTGAAAACATGTGAAGTGCTCTATGCTTACAAAAGAATGAAAAACAACACGTTTTTCAAAATTTCATGAAAAATGACTTTTTTTCAATTTTAATCATATATAAATGTTTTGGATCAAGTGCCAATTTTAATATTTTATTTAGTATCATATGTACGAGTATCAAATTTTAATCTTAAAATAATATTCAAGAAAATATTTTTCTTTTGTTCCTCCTAAATTTAAAAATATTAAATATATACTATATGCAAAATGTGTATATGCAAAAATTTTACAAGTCATGCATATATGCAATAAGTACAAAATGCATTTTAGTGTGTTTATTATGAATATTTTAGAATGCACGCTTAATTTTGTTTTATTCATTCCACATATGATTCTTTTTTCCTGCTAGACACCAATATGCTATAAGACATGTGCTAGTTGCATGGTGGGACAAACGGTATCCCACCTTCTACCGTAAAAAATAAAAGTGCAGAATTTTTTTCAAGCCTTAAAGGCACTTAAGTAAGTCCATCTGACTTATTCTATGGCATTTTTTTAAAGATTAAAATATATTTTAAATATGCGTGCCGCAAAGGGTTAAATGAAATTCATACTCAACACGTTGAAAGGATGTGGGTTTCCACAAAATGGAGGAACAAGTGTCAACATGGGACAAGCCGCCATCATTTGTATGCCTATTTAGCTGAATTTATTTGGTGGAAAAAACAGGAAACGCCTTTTGATGCTATTTTGATAGATATTTCCCACCCCTTTCCTCACCATTAACTTCAATGTTTTCTTTTAACCAGTTTTAAGTAAGTTAATTTTAATTTTTTTAATTTGTATTTAGTATATAGTTTATATATATATATACATATACGTATATATATACATTTATTTATAATAATATTTATATATATAGAGAGAGAGATTTTTGGTTTTTAAGTTTTTGTTCCTTTATAATTAGGGCTTTTATTTATAAAATAATTTATAAACATAAACTAAATAACGGCAATGAAGACTTTTATCGATAAATGTCGCCAAGATAGTCATCATGGTACGTAAGTATCTAATTACCTTTAAATTATAAGTTTCTTTATTCATAACATCAGAATTTTTTAAAAATTAACATAATACCTAAAAAAAATGTAATTTTTTTTTTAATTTTGCTTTTTAAGAAATTGCATATGTTGATAAATACTGATGTTAATGATATGCTACAAATGATAAAATTGAGTTTTAATCATGTTACTGTCAGTTTTAATTATTAGACATAAAAATTCTGGAAAATATATAACTTTAAGTAAAGTGACCAAAATGCAATCATCTGAGAGTAAGTAGTTAAACTAGTTGTAAAAACATGCACAATATAAAGTGTATGGCACTATAAAGCAACATTAATTTCATAATTATGCATAAGCAAGCTGAAATTTTACATTTAAACACAGCGAAATAATACAAGTGCTGTCAGCAAGTAATCAATCAAAATACTATTAGAAGAAAAAGTTACATGTACAGTTCTCAAAAAAGTTTTAAGCAAATGTATTTATTAACTAAATTTGTATATTTACTTATTTTAGCCTCTATTTTCATAAACTTACATTTATTAATATGATATTAATATTATAAAAGAGAGTAAGAAAGCAAAATATCTTAAATTATAAGCTAATATATAAACCAAGTGAGAAAAACTCACATGACTTCATGACTGGATAAAGCCGATCATGACACTCAGAGGGTTAATACGATTTTCTTCTCCCAGCGTTTACCAGCTAGTATAAGATAAACATTGACACAATTAAAGTAATTGCCGACTGCTGTGGCATATGCTGCACAATATTAGAAGCCAATGATTTCAGCTAGCATCTTAATAATATGATCTTAATCGTAAAGCAATTATCTATTTGTGTCACATAAGCATGACATCACTCAACTTATTAGCTGCTTTCACAAATACAGGATTTGGAAAAACACTGAATATCAGCTAGCTTAATGTTAACGTGACTTCACTTGGCAGCATTATCAGCCAGCAAAATATGAATGATTTCAATTTGCCAACATTCATCAGCTGGTATATTGTAAGTACGCTTGTTCTGCTAACATAAAGTATATGATTTATATGAAACCTTTACACAAGTTTCTGACGTTTCTGTCTGGTTTTGCAATGCATAATTAAAGTATTATATTATTAAAAGAATTTATATAATTACAGTTTTGTGAAACAATTAAGATTATATGATGAATTTTAATTAAGGATTGCTAATTTCTTCAGAAGTATATTACAATTTGAATATTAGGAATAAAAATGCAAAAGAAGCTAATAATAGCAGACAATGAAATCTACACAATGCTGGCAGACAGTTAAGAGTCTGAAATATTATGGCTCATAAATCAAAGTGTTAATACTGACCAAAAGAATCATAGTTCTGCTTTAGCTTTTTGCAAACCATCTTGCTCCTACATTTAGAAAGTTTGAGCCAAATATTAATACGATTTGGAATTGTAAATTTCAAGCATTCAATACTTCAGTAATTTTTAGTTGCTTTAGTTTCCACAAAGCAGCAGAGACTGACTTTAAACACAAGCTGTGCAAGCTTGTGTGTGCTTGTTAAGATTTAATAAAAGGTTCTTTAAAACTTATGTCTCAGTTGCTTTACTCAGATAACTCACCTGACAGTCTCACATGGAAAAGTTTAGTTATGTAAGCTAATGGTTCCCTACAAGTGCATCATTTTACTGTGATATTTTAAGGTAGTTAAGAAAGAATGTTTGCATCAGAAAACCTAACAATGAGAGGAGAGTTACTTCACTATGATAATGCACCAACCCACAGTGCCCTGAAGATTAAAAAATTTGCCAGAAATAAATCTAGAAGTGCTTTTCTAATATTTACCAGCTCAACACTCTATTTATTTCCTAAGCTGAAATTCAAATTACAAGGCATTATTTTGATTCCACAAAAGTATTCGGAGAAATCACACTAGCTGACAGACACACTGCAATCAAATGATTTCCAAATCATATTCCAATCATAAAGCTAAAGCTGAAAATGGTACACAAATACAGAAGACTACTTTAAAGGGAAGAGAAAACAAATTTTATTTAAGTAAATTTTCAATATTGGTTGACTTTACTTGGCTTCTCTGACCAATGTCAATATAGCAATTCATACGATTAATGAATAACAACATACAAACTCTTGGTGAATTATTTAAAATTTTAATCTTCAAATAAAATGTCTATTCATTGAACAGTGTAAAAAATGCGTATTCTTATACTTTAACACATTACAGTTTACAAATTACGTACCAACATCGGTAACACAGGTGTCATTAACGATGACTCAATAGTTAACTGCTTTTGAGAGCTTCCACCACTGTTATTCTCAATAGCACGTCTTATAACATCTTCCAGATTAGACAAAGCTTGAAAAGCAGCATATGCTGAAGGATTAATGGCATCCAAACTATATAAGAATTTGAAACAGATTTTCTTAGAGTTTATAAATTAAAGCATCAAATCTAAATTTATTATACTCACACATTATATAGAGTGCAGAACAAAAATTTCTTCAATATGAAATGGAAAAAACAAACACAGCAGAGATACAAAATATACATTCATGCATTAACAAAAATCATGTGATATTTGTGATCTTCAATACAAGATATTATAGCAATAAATTATGATGCTAAAGGATGCAGAATTTTCATACCAATGTATTATCATACAGAATGCTAGTTGTAAACACAGAAACAGCATCAATATAAATCTTGACAAAACACTTTCTATAACACTTTATGCTAATTTTTTAACCAATCAGTATTTCCCAATATAATGGTGTACTATAAAACTTGAAGCCCCATGAGGTAGCCTACAAAATTTTCATATTTAATCTGCTGCACATGTGACAGGCAGCCTATAGAATTATGCAAGCAAGCAAAACTCTTTTCTCATCAATGAAAAGTTAAATACACTTTATGAAATGCATGAAGGTTTTACACATACATGCAAAATATTTATTTTGATACTATTAATGCATGGATAAAAGTGAATGAATGAATAAAGCGAAAAAGATACAGGAGTTTCACTCTTAGTATCTGGATGGCAGGTTATATGTTGTTTATAGAATTTTTCCCATGTGATTCATAAATATAAGCCAATTTCCCTAAAAAGGTATTCTTTCTCTTATGTAGATATTCCTTTAATGCTTTGCTGCAGTTAAAAAATCCATCTTTTTAGTAGACCTAATTGAGAAAACACCACAAAGATATCCTTCAATGAGGAAAATTATTTATAAAACTTTTTATGCATTATGCCATGAAAACAAAATTTCTAGATTTTACCTGCCTTTCAATTGGTATTTGATGGCATTATTCAATAAATGAATGGAAGGGGAGATTTTTTTTCAACATCACAATTACATGACTTAGCCTTTCTGACAACAAAAATTGTGGAATCAAATCACAGAAACAGACTTGCGTACCTCAAAGATGTTTTCTGTTTAGCCAGACTTATTCTGGTAAATTGCATGGAACACTTCAAGCAAAATATCTATTGATGAATATTAATCAAATAATCAAAATACCATTGCTTCTAATAATAATGAAAATTACACTGTTACCAAATCATACTCTGCACTGCAAGATCATGGAGCAAAAAAAAAGTCTTATACTGTTGTGGGGGTTTTACCTTTCCTTCCATATTTCTTCAGTATCAGTGCTGACATCACATCCTGATTTCTCCTTTAACGCATGTGCGATATGAATCTTGACTCTGAAAGACTGCAAAAAAGATCTTCCCCCTTCTGTTTTACAAATTCCTGTAAACACTCTGTTCATCGCAGAGATTAATGTTAGTCTAACATTATGTACATATTCTGATTTATTAAAAGAATTTATTCTTTACACATTGGTGTTTAATTATTATCTAAGAACCCAAACTGGTGATGATGAATTTTAAAGAACGTGTTTTTAATAGTTTGACCGTATCTATAAACGATGACGCTGTTGCTTCAATGTAAGCGTCTGAAATCAACGTAGTTTCAGTTAAAGTACCAGCATTCTGAAAAAATAATCCAAGCATATGGTTTTGCCAAATTGAAAGCCACTTCATTAATAGTGGAATAACAGCCCGATGCCACAAAATATCATATTGCAGTGGTGCATATTCAGACCAACATCTTAAGTCATGTAAGTAACATAATTGATCCTCCTCCAGCTATTGATGCATATGACACTCTTAAAAAAAAACCCAATTAATTGAAGTTTTTTTTTGACTCTGAAGAATAAAAATTAAGAACTTTCAGATATTGATTTAGTAACAAATGCCCATCTGTCTTACTTCAGTAAATGAGGAACTAGCCGAACCTCTTCTCAGAAATGAATTATTAAAATCTTTGTGGCTTCAATGCATTGAATCCCAGATACAAGCCATACTGTCCTCTTCTGATGGCGAACTTAAAAAATAAGCAGCTATGGCTGAAAGATCTTTAACATCGCAACTCCAGCTCAGCTTCATGCCATGGAATTCAAATTGAAAGTAACTAATTCTATTGATAAAAATGATGCTTTAGATAATTTGCAGAAATAATAATCTGATTTGAATAAAAAAAAAAAAAACATATAAACTCTCACTCCTGTAGTTGTTCTAAATCTAGATCTAGATCCTTGCCCACAAATAAACAAAACAAAAATCATTCTTGTTATGGTACCACATTAAGTGTGGTAAAAAAGCTGAAAAATACACCAACCCTTGCACTTTTAAATGAGAAAACTAGAAGGCCAAGCATATGTAACAACAGATGCCATAGGCCAAAATAATTGTTGCCTCCTTGTATACAAAATCTTTAAGAACACATTTTTTGGTTGACGCAAAAAGTTGATTTCTCTGTCTTGCCTTCCACTCTATAAGACCATTTTAAACCAACATCTTTGCTCAATTTATTTGCAACAAAAGGTAAAAAAAATTATATCTACAGAAAATGTACAGTATATTTAGACATATATCTATGAAACATTTTTCTGTGCACTTCTACTATTGCTAATGTCTTGCAACCAATTTTGAGTGCAGATTTTTTTTAAGTAATTAAGGCATTGTTGCAAATTTGAAATCCATAAAATAATTGACGGCATGACTAATGTTGCATCAGATGACAAGATATCCCGAGACATGGTACCCAAAATTAGTTTTATAACAGCAACACGTGTTTAATGATTTACTTTAAAAATATCATTCTCTTTTCAAAAAACAAACAAATTTAAAACAGCCTCCGGATAAGAATACTTATGGTATTACACATATAATGGAAACTAAAGGTTCTCCAGCAGCCTCCAGTAAGGCTACATACCTCACGCCTGATAAAATGGCTGCCACAAAAGCAGAACTCACTTATTTAGTGCAAAAAGGCATATGTAGTCCTTCTAAAAGTTGCTGGAGTAGCCCTCTACGCATGGTTAAAAAAAATTATATGGATCTTGGTGACCTTGGGGCGACTACCGTAAATTAAAATCAATCACAATTCCAGATAATTATCCAACTAGGCATCTACATGATTTTACATTCAATTAAAACAACACCATTTTTTTTTTTTTTTTTTTTTTAATTTTTTTTATTTTTACTTTAGATCTCTTTATCACTAGGTGCCAATGAATGAAGAGAACATAAATAAAATGGCAATAGTTGCTCTTTCTGAATGATTTGAGTTTAATTACATGACATCTGTTTTATGCAATGCTGTGCGAACCATGCAAACATTACTAAATTAAATTTTGTCATATTAAAATTTTTGCTCTGTATATACAGATGATATTTTGATTACTTCATCACACATATTTGCTTTAGAATGCATAAAAGTTTTAGGTCACATTATCAACAAAAAAAGAATCATTCCTTTGCCAGTAAAAATTAAAATAATTTCCCAAATCCAAAACTGTTAATGGATTCGGATGTTTTGGGGGAATTCTTAATTTTTACAGGACATTTTTAAATCATGCTGTAGAAGTCTCACTTCCCTTAAATGGTATGCTGGGAAACTGTGAGAAAAACGACAAAAAATCTTTAGATTGGTCAACAAACACTGAAACAACTTTTGAATCACGTAAAGAACTTCTGACACAAGCTATAAATTTAGTCCATCTAGACCCAAAAAAGAAAGTTGCTCTTATGCGTGATGCTTCAGAAAAAGCCACAAGCACTAGCATCCAGCAGCTTAACAAACATGGGAACCAATATGATTCTTTTCAAGAAAAGCCAGTGATATGAACAGAAATATACTATATACAATAGAGAACTTTTTGACATATTTTCCACTCTTAAATATTTCAGATATCTGCTTGAAGGTATAAATTTTACAGTGTTTACAGATCATAACCACTCACAAAAGCACTTTTCCAAAAATATGACAACTCTCCACTCAACAAATTAATCGACTTAATTTCATAGGTCAGTTCACTGCTGATATTCAACATATGAGTGGTACAGAAAATGGGCCAGCCGATGCTCTTTATCAAAAAGGTTACTAATGTAATTCCTACTATGACTCTATGTCACTACACCAATCCTCTTTAGACAAAGAAAATTCAGTTCTGCAATTAAAGAAGCTAAAAATGGCTGAGAGTTTTTTTAGAACTATATTGTGACATTTCAAATTTCAAAATCCATCCTTCTGTTGCAGACAGTCATAGATGTGGATAATAAATGTGGAGAATATTTTGTCATATATAAAAAAAGTTATAAATTTTATAAGATCTCAAGGTTTAAATCAGCGTCAATTCACTGCTTTCTTAAGTGAGTTAGATAGTGAATATTCGGGTTTGTCCTACTATACCGATGTATGTTGGTTATCTTGCTCCAAGATTCTCAACACAATTCCTGGGATTTGAAAGAAGAAATATACCAGTTTTTAAAAACGAAAAATCAAGACGTAAGTTTGTTTTACGATCCAATATCGGATACAAGATTTATCTTTCTTGGTTGATATAACAAAACACTTAACGATTTAAATTTATCGTTACAAGGCAAGAAGATCATATCATTACGAACATGTTTGACATAAATTAAAGCATTCAAACTGTCAACTAGTTCTTCGGGAAAAAGACAACTTAAAAATGAAGATTTGACGCACTTCCCGACGTGCAGCATGAATAAATCAAGTTTAGATGATACTTGTTCGTATCAAAAATATGCAGAAAAAATTGCAAATTTAACAACTGAATTTGAAACGAGTTTAATGATTTTAGTTCCCTCGAAGACTTTTTTTTTTTTTTTTTTTTTTTTTTTTTTTTTGTTTTCCTTCCTCGATTTTCTCAATAAGTATTGACTCAGTACCCAGCCATATGTAAATGGAGGTGATCGAGATTCAATGCAACTCAAATTTGAAGCAAAATTCATTGAAGTGGGCGTGCCTGAATTTTACAAATATTTACCAGCCAAGTTTTGAAAATACTCGAAAATTCGCATATGAAATTATTTCCATGTTTGGTAGCAACTTATCGGTGTGAGCATTTTATTTTTCAGTCATGAAAGGTAATAAGGCTCCTATTAGAAACCGTATTAATGATGTTCAACCTTGGGTCAGCGTTGAAAGTTATCACTGCAAACAAAAATTCTCCCGAAATAGGAAAGATAATAGCAGAGAAGAGATGTCAAGTATCAGGACATAAACATTAAATTTTTCTTGTTCTTTTCTATATAAATATATAATGTTTATTATTATATTATTCGAAATAAATCTACGTTTCTATGAATATTGATTTTTTTTTTTTTTTTTTTTTTTTTTTTTTTTTTTTGGCGGCTTGCCTAAAGTTAAACCTTGTTTGTTTGGCCCAAGTGTACCTATGAGTTTGACATCCCTGATGTACACTCACCTTTTAACTGCTTTTATAGTTTCAGATGAACATTTCTTGCATATCAATATAAATTTGATTGGACGGCTTTCTTCAACTCAAGGAATGCCTTACTATCTGACATGCACTGATAGGTATACTCATCGACCCAAAGCTTCTCCATTGAAAGATACATGAGCACTGCTCTTTACGTGGGCTACATCTCAAGATTTGTTGTACCTGTCCAGATTACTAATTATGGTAGCCAATTTTGAAGTGATGTCTTTTGAAAGCTAGCTAAATACTTTGGTATTCATCTTTCTCATACCACTGTGTACCACCGACAAGCCAATGGGATCACTGAAAGAGGGCACAGGTCACTTAAACAGTCTATAATGTGTCATACATTTGTACATTGGACTATTGCATTACTCTCAGTTCTTTTAGGACTTAAAAAAAAAATTTGTTTATGAACACTTATATTTGTATACAGAGACTTTTATTTGTCTACAATACAAATAAATATTTGTCTAATAAAGAGAAATGTTCTCACCTTTTCCTACCTGTAGATGCAGTAAAACCCATACACCCTACAGTGCTCCTTAAAGAGTGCTTTAACATAGTGATAAAACTTTTACTGTCTCTAAAAAAGGCGATAATATCATTGCGTCTAAAACCTTTTCTTTTGATCCCAGACAATGTACCTATACTTCCCATTTTACCTGATGTTGCAAGGTATCATTATAGCAACCAGCTTGTTCAGTAAAGGAACAGTTTCCTGAAAAACATGCTCCTGCAAAAGCAAATTACCAAACTCCTCCTGGATGTCATATTCACTTTCCAAAACAATTTGTGCAATACTAACGTTTATTTCTCTTTTACAGATTTTTAATGCAATTTTTTTCAGCAACGGAAATGGTGTGGGTTTTTACCTTTCCCCACCACATTTCTTCAACATCGATGCTGATGTCCCAATTTTTCCTTTTAGCGCATGTGCAATAAGAATCTCAACTCTGAAGGATAGCAAAGGTTCACGTACACATCCAGTTCATTGTTGAAATTAATGTTTTTCTAACATCATATATATATTTTGATCTATCAGAATAATTTATTCTTTACAAATTGGTATTTAATAATGATCTAAAAAACCAATCTAACTGAAAAGCAATGCGAGACACTATGCCAGACTTTATAGTTAGGTTTAAGAATATATGGCATTAACCAAATCCTTAGACAATATCACTATTAAATCAAAAACTGGTTTCAACATGATATGATCATTATGTGATAATATTTAGCACTGATATGCAGTTATTCAAAGAAAATGCTGATTAGCATATACAGATTACAATGCAATTAAATATGAAAATTAATCTTTCCCATATGTGCAATAAAATTTTGAACTGTTTCTCTGTTATTTCTATTGTTATTATTATTAAGAGTATTTATGATCAATCATATAGAACTGAATTACAAAACTGTGTTGCCTATAGCTCAAAGGTTGATGCAAAAAGAATGCAATAATTTAAGTTGTAATTAATAATGAATAAGAGCAATTATCTTTTACCACTAAGGCATTACATATATGTGTATAAATATAGGTAAGCCCAGAATCAAGATAAATATATATAAAACTTTTTTACAAACCTCAGAATTTTTTTATGTGTAATTTAGATAAAACTTTATTTACTTACATTGGTTTAGGGCCAGCATTTATCCGAAGATCATGTTTGATAAAACGAATAAACATCTTTAAATCATTTCCTGTACACCTGCAATGAATTGTTAGAAAATATTGTGTCAATTATTAGAAAATATTGCCTGAACTATTAGAAAATATTATATGAATATACTGATCATTTATTATATAAATGATTAATATAGTCACATAATAAAATATAGCAGACAATTCAACAGTATAAAATGATATATGCTTAATAATATTGACTTCAAATTTAGATTCTTAAGCAATTAATTAATGCAATTAATATATTTTTAAGCATTTAAATAAAGATAATTTAAGAAAATAATGAAAATGCAATCAAATAATCATATTCAATAAGAAACATGAATGAGTCAATAATGTATACAGATGTATAAAATGTCAATAATGAATAAAACATCAGACTCGTTGAAATCTCAGCCTATGGATTTCAGACTCTGAGTGATACAAAACTAACAATGATATTTTCAACTTACATGCATCTTTATCCATATCATAATGTTGCATGCATGTGCATATTTTCACCATATAATCTAACCAGGTAACCCCTTACAAGAAAGGTAACCCCTTACAAGTAATTTTTTATGGCACTGTTCTTGTGAACAATCTGTTTCAGTGGCCTTATATTAGGCTGAGATTATACAAATTACAGAGCTCTAAGAATCTTTAAAATGTTATTAGATTCTATTTAAGCTATTCACAAATAATACACAAACAAATTCCACAAAAACCATCTCAAAAATAGCAGCCCAGAAGATTCTATTTTAAAGCCATATTGTTGAAACTTATTTCTGATACAGTATTTAATATATAGATGTGTAAAAAATATAAAATTCTAATAACAAACAAACAAAAAAATTTGCAACAGTCTGAAAAAAATTAATAAAAATCTCTTTAAATAGCCTTATTGTTTTAAGTCTAAATCAGCAAGTATTTAAAAATATGCCTCTGTTGTTATATTTGCTAACTAAATAGAACATCAATCTTAGTATTTAAAATGACAATTTACTTGATTTTTTTACACATTCTTATGCAAGTTAATTGCATTTAAAATTATGATACAGTCTGTTTTATACATTTTTCTTTTTCTAAATGGTCCACCAGTGTTGGAGCTGTAAAGTTGATGAACCCTGGTAGTTCAGTCCATGGTTTGAATCCCAGCGAACAGCCTAGTTCCAACCAAACCTTTTCTAAACATTGTTTTGGAGAATTTTCAGCTTAGTTTTATCTATTACTTATCATTTAGCACCAATTCTTCTTATATAACTTTCAATGGTTTGAGAAGAAAGACCTTTGACTTTGGAAAAGTCTGCTGTTGTTCAAACTTTCAAAAATGAAAATACATGCAATTAATGGAAAATTGCTAAAAATTTTGATATATGTCGAAAGTTTCCTAGCCTCTGTTTATAAATATTTGTTTATGCAATATTTGCTTCACAAACTACGAACTGCAAATTACAAATTTCTTTATCTCAAACTCAAAATGGAAAACTGTGACAGAGAAATGAAACTGGTATTAAAATAACAAAGAAAATGAATGATAATGTACTTGTTATACAGAAATACCAAGTTGAGTCCAAGTTGATACCAAGTCACCAAGTTGAGTTTTACCTCGATAAATAGATTCCCTCATAAAATAGTAAGACTATCTTTTTTAAAATTTAGGCTTTAAAACAAATAATTTTGCATAAAGCAATTATAATTTAAATACATTGTAATTGCCCTTAACAGAAACAAGCATGAAAAAATAGGGAACTATGTAGTCAATAGGAATTCTGAAGCAGGAGACATGAAAAATGTGCAATGCACTTGCCAGGACTGGAACCTGGACCCCTCGAATATGCACCAAGTATGCTACCATTACACCGCAAAAGCATGCAGAAAGGGGAGAGAAAATACCTTAAGGGCAGGACCTTGCCGAGACTCGAACCTGGACCTCTCGAATAGGTGTTGTGGGCGCCTTTCTGCCACAAAGACAAGCAGAAAGGAGAGAAAAAATACCTTATAACTGAAAGGAAATGTAGTGAAATAATTTACATTTGCATCGTATAATTAGTTGATTAATATTAGCAAGCCTGAAATCCTATGTCACATATGCTTAGTGCAATTCTTGAATATCAGTTTTCATTTCATATGAAATGGGGAAAGCAAACTAGTTGGGTGAAATTTTACAGGATTACAGTATTTTCACTTAAAAATTTGATGTTTAAGGAAAAAAATCATATTCCTAGTATTACTATAAAACTATGATACATATAATACAATACCCAAAATTACTAATATTAAATATATTGGCAAAAATTCTCTACAAAACCTTTTTGCAACTTTGGTTAAAATTTGGGATTGCTCCATTTCTTTGGAAACTCTTGTAAGTTGATCTAAATATGAATCAACCTAATAAAAGATAAATTAGTTTCAAATATTTGATACAAATGCTTAATACTATATTTAATACATGATATTTATATTAAATATATAAAGAGTTGCATTTAAATAAAGCAAAATTATTCAACAAAACAGAGAAACAGGAAAATAAACTACAATATTTACTTTAAAAAACTGTATTCATAATCAATTTTACATTTAAAAAAAGGAAAATTACTTTTAAAATGTGCCTAGAAAAAAGGGTTTTCCATTATAAATATACACAGTGTTTTAAAATGAATAATATTTGTGAATAACGCAATACTGTAGCATTTGATATGCAAAATAATAAAATTTTTCAATAAATATTTAAAATACCTAGCACAAACTGTTAAGTCTTACTGAAACCATACTACCATTATCACAGTAGCAGTGATTCCCAAAAGTTAAACCATATAAACCTGAAACTTATTCATACGCAAAAGGTCGTGGTTTTAAGCTTCTGATTTCAAAATATTTTTTTTAATATTTCTGTTGTTAAATCATTAAATCAAGTAGCATTTTTAACTTTCCATTATAAAGCAAACAATACACAATATATATAAAAGATTATCTTTTTTTAATTAAATATGAAAGAGAAAATAAATATTTGTGAATAAAATTTACATACAACACAAAGAAGTCATCCATAAAAAAAAATTTATGAAAATAATAAAAATAATATAAAGATTTATTAAGCATACTTCTTGCAATGTGAGAGTGCTTTTGCTTTCGGGTAGAAAAGACTTTGAAGACTCGAAAAAAACTTTGATTGTTTCAGCAACATCTCCCTACAAAATAAAATGGCTATACAATGAAATAAAATAAATAATTATTTATAAAATACTCAAAATATTATAACACCAAAAGTACCTGGTATATCTGCTTACATAATTCCCCTCCCCTCCAAAAAAAAAAAAAAAAAAAAAAAAAAAAAAAAAAAAAAAAAAAACCCTTTTATTTTTAACTTTATCAGTTAAAACAGAGATGAAATTATATGAAGTATACCATTATTAAAGAAAATATTTAAGCATTAATTAGACATATTAATATAACTATTAATAATTATTTAAATGCTCATTTTACTTAAATATTCATTTAAAATTTCTAACTAGGCTACATAATCTTGTTAATCTAGAGATTCTTATCATCAGTCAAAGTGTTTGGAACTCATATGATTGTCACAGGGTTGGAAAAGGATGTCTCAAAGATCTCCTTATAAACATGGACAGCTTTAAGCACTGAGTGACATGTCAAAGTAACAATCTATATGCATGCATGCTATGGTTTTGCCCTCAAGAGAAATACCTTCAAGGGTTTGCCCCTTGAGGGTATTTCAATGGTACTGATGTCTTGCACGAAAGTTTTTTGAAGAGGTCAACAATGTTTCTTTGTCTTCACTTCCTATATCAAGTTGGACACGACAGCTGGAAAATCCCAGTTTTCTCTTGAGCTGAATTTCTGTATAAAAGGTTAAAAATTCCAACGAAAATTTCAGTCTCAATAAGCTGAAATGCTCTAGCCTTGATCTAGCCCTTGCAATATGATGTAATCAGCCTCATCTGCTAATATGATCTACATTCTACTATTTGTGTCTACTTGTTATAACACTGTTCAAAGTTTCCTTTATGAACAGTCAAGATAGGTGTTTAAAAGTTGTAACATTTTGGTCACCAGTTAGGTGTAATAATTACTCTTGAACTCTCTCCCAGAATCTTGGACTTTTATATTTTATTTAGAGTTCCAAATTTTTATGAAAAATATCTAGACTTTCCATCTACATACAAACTTTCTAACATGCATAATATACTAACTAATTTCATTCTTTAACTTTGGATATTTACATTTCTTTTCTTAAAACCTGTACTTTGATGAAACCCCCTTTACTTTTCTTTGGCCACCCTATCTCCATGCACATATTTTGAATCTACATGACAATTCGAGCAATCATTTGCTTCCTGTACTCTTATGAATATTACTTTGAATTCTGGAATGCTATTTGCCTTTCAAAACCAATTACCAAGCATTCAATTTACAATAACACTTACATAACTCCATCACAAACTTAGAAAAATTATTGCAGTTAAAAATCTTTATAATAATTACCATTGTGAATTAAAACTGAAAAACAGAAACAGAATGAGAGGAGTATGAAAGCACATTGCAAAAAATATGAAGTGATATTGGCAACACACTATTCAAATACCATTATTTGTTATTTATCTGCTGATGTAATGCAAAACCAATCAGAGGAGATATTACCTAAAACTAATCATTTAAACATAATGTATCACAAGAAACTATATACTGGATTTTCAAAAACATACCCTTAAGATTTGGATACACATACAATAGGCCAGTAAATGAGTTAATACAGTAATCACAATTACACAACTGTTGTCAATAAATCAAAAGATATGCAAATTGAGACTCAAGATAAAGCATGCAGTAATTATTAATTTACAATCAGTAACTAAATAATACAGCAAAATATTCCAGTAAATGCATGCTCTGCCTGTATAAACATATAAAAGTTATTCAACATAAATATTTTAAATATACACTGGCATCACTATTAATGCATACATGTAATACATACCTGTTCTAAATCTTCAAGCATTTCTTCATATGATACACTAAATATCTAAAAATGCAAAAAATGAACCATTAGAATAATCAAAATAATAACTTAAAAATACAGAATATAATTTGCAACTGTTACTTTTTTGCGTTAATCTCTTTTTTAATCCAGGCTACTTTAAAAAAATATATTCTAAACAGTTCAATAACATAGGCAAACTGCTATAATTCTTTATCTCATAATTATTATCACTTTTTGAATTAAGCAAGTGAAGCTATTAAGAAAATACTACTTTCTTACCAATGATTAGCATTAAAATACAAAATTTGTTGAAACATTTATATTTTACACTGCTTTAAAATAGTCTCATATATTTTTTAATATTTTATACTGTTTTAAAATAGCCCCACATATATTATAAAGCAGATTAGTGATATTTTGTTTAAGTTTATACTAACAGTTAGTTTTATGCTTACTCTTTCTTTTATGCCTCATTTTGTCATATACCCACTCAGTCCAGAGGCTTATGTAGATTTTATGTTAAGTGACAAAGGTTCCAATGAGAAGTAAAATCATAAGCAGCATGATACTTTTCCATAACTTATTTGATTACAGCAAAGCACATGAGGACTAGCTGCCTAAAGAGAGGGGATATTTCCATGGAAAACTATAAATAGGGTATAACTAAAATATATAGTATTTAAGTTGACGAGAAATTAGCTATGAAAACCAACCATGCAGTCAGACCATTCACTGATTTTGAACCCAAGTCAGATTCCTGTATTCAGCAGTGTTAACCACTCATTGGTACACTGTATCAGTCAGGAAAAATTTATAAAATAAGAGTGAAAAAAAAAAATGAATACTTTGAGATGACTAAAATGCTCTTGAAGTTTTATTTCATGCATTTAGCGAAATGACAGAGGAAATGGAAGAAAAAAGAAGAAATTTAAGTATTAATAAGAAAAAGTGTAATTTGCATTTTATCAAAATCTTAGCAAGTTTCAGCATGCCAGAAAAATGGCGATCTTGCCTCTTGCAATCATGTCTTTAATTTTCAACATATTCTATAAGCACATAAAAGTCTTCTTGTATTAGCTTCAAAGTGTTTGCAATTAGTTATTTTCTTCATGAGTGTCTAGGATTTACTGAATAGTAAAACAAAAACTACCTTGATAATTACCAAACATTTCCAAAAAGTTAGAATGTTCCAGTTCCTGTAATATAAAATTATAGCATACTTGAGTCACAACCATTTCCGTAAGAGGAACACTTATGAAAGTGAACAGTAATATAGAGAACATTAAAAAACAATAGCTGAAATGACTTCTCTCCAAAATGACTACCTCCTACAAATTTTTTTAAAAAATTGTTTAATCATTTATAAATATAATGATCAGCTTAGCGAAGATACATTTTATAAACATTAAAGAAACTGTGCTCCAAAGAAGTACGCTGCTCAAAAAAAAAAAATTGGACAGTCCTATATCTCCCGATCTACTGGGCCGATTGACAAAATTCAAATTGCGTTCTTCATGTATCGAACGTGGACTTGATATATTAGATTTATAGATAGCACTATTCTAACATAGGTATTTTGGACATAAAATCGGAGGTTTCTCTGAATAACATACCAATTTTTTTCATATTTCGATTCTACGACTCAATTACGCCTAAATATGAAATTTTTTAAATTTGGAGCGAGTTACTGAGAAATTCACGAATTATGTTGGCTTTTTTGTCATTTGCGCCAAGAATACTTCACTTGGCGAACTTCTTAACTTGGGCACCTAGTTTCCTTTCCCGTGAGAGGAAAAAAAGACCCATCGTTCCGTTTTTCCAAATAATATTCTTTATATTATATTTTTAATTATAACTTATATTTTAAGTATTTTTTCTTTTCAAATTTATTTTAATTGTTTTAAGTTGCATGTTTTTTTTTTTCGAATAATTGTTTAAAATTTCTATTTACCTATTCACTGCGATAAGGTGCGCGTTAGTTTCAAATAGTTTTCTTTATATATATTGTTGTCATAGTTATTATTTAGGTATTTTTTTAATTTTTATACTTTTTTTTAATTGTTGGTTTGCATTGTTCTTCAGATAATTGTTTTAAAATTTCTATTTATTCCTCAACTGAGCATTTTTTAAATATAATTTTCCAAACTTTGATTTTATTATTTGAATTGTGTTTCATTCGGAAGAAACTTGTAAACCCAGACTACGATGCATTTAAAACTGCATATATTAAAAGAGAAAATACAGTAAAGCACAGTTAAAGCCTTTCAAGTTCCTTCAGAAGATATATATAAATAAGAGCGATGTATACCGACATTTTAACTTAGGATACTTGCATAAACTGCTTTAAACATTTTTTTATCTTGTGCCCATTGCGTTACCAGTTTATCCTACATTTGGTTTCTAAAATTTATTCATATTTTAGTAAATATTTTTTTTTAAATCGCAAGAATCAATATCATAAGATTAAAAGTTTTAAATAAAAAAAATAAAAAATACTAAATTTAACGAAAATGTATTTTTCTCTTTTTTCTTTAAGCATTCTGAAGTATATTAAAAATATCCACTTTCGAAACTTTTGTATTTCTGAACAATCATTTTAAATAAATTTATCGCCTTTCCATTTCATAAAGGCCCCCAAACGGCCGGCGGTAAAGACGCTGACACTGTAGTTCGGGCCCGAGGTTCGAATTTGCGAACGGGCTGGTTGCATGGGTATTTCGTGGTTTTTCCCGATGTGTAACGTGTATAAGGCCAGTTTCCCTTAGAAAGGTCCTCCACGAAGGCATCCTTCCCTTTAGGCAGAAGCCCTCGTGTGTGCTTTGCCATAATTAAAATATACAATCCAATCCAATCCAATCCTTAATTTAAATATAAATTGATTTGTAAGTTCTACTAGACTGACGTTAGAATGAAATGCCAATAATAATTCGTTGCAATCTTGATTAATAAAATTTAAAATATTGCACAAAAAATATGCATTCACAGAATGATTTTTGAAATATTTGCATTTATTTATAAGAAGGATTTATTAATACCGTAATAATTACATAATACTGATGATTAGGAATCAGTTCTTGACAATTAATTCTAAATTAGATTTTAAGAAATTATTAGAATTTTAAATTAGAATCTGAAAATACCTACACACAAATACATTTTACATAAAAAATGTTTTTTTATGTTTTAAAACTTCTTGAATTCATTTATAAACATCGTATCCTCGTTGTTACTGAATTCAGAATGTTGTGTCGTTAATAATTTTTTACTTTCCACGAAATTTCCACTATAGTACTCAGCATTTTAACATTGGCTTATAATTATCTCTAAGGGTTGTATTTAATCATAATTTGAATTCATCATTATTTTTGATGTTTTAACTGTGCTTAAAAATATGGATGATGTTGTGGAAAATCCCCCAAATGATTTATGTATCGCCGTTAGAGGGCGCTTCGCTTCTGAAAAGGAATGTTAGTTTTTAGTTTGCGACGTAGTTAGTTAGCAGTGAACCTTCGATGCAATCGAAAGTTGCTTTGTAAATAAAATGATTATTTTTGTAGATTGTTGAAGTATTTCACTTCATTTAGAATTAGAACCACCTTTCGCAATATGGCGCATCGGTGCCGAGAACCTTTGGCCAATTTAGAAGTTTGTGTTTTTTAATTTTGGATATCATTTTATGCGAATGCGAACAAGCCAAGGTAAGCCTGTATTTTCTATTTTTATATAATATGGAAGATCTTATTGCTAAACTGAAATCGAAACGAAAGGTATTGAGGACCGGAGTGTCCAAGATATTAAAGAAAATTGAAACCGAACTGAATAAAGATGATAGTAGTATAAATGTAAATGTATTAGAAGAAATTTTAGACCAGTTAAACGAAAAATCAAAATCCTTGAGCAATTTAGACGCTGAAATAGAACGAGAATTAAAAGTCGAAGAAGACGAATTTGAACTTGAAATCTCATCCGCTTTGGAATATGAAGAGAAAATTCAAGTGTGGCAGTTTAGAGGAAAGAAAAAGTTGAAAGAGTTGAATAAGTTGGAAAATTCGGACAATGCAAATAGAGACATTTCTAATGAAACCGTTACAGAATCCCAAAACGAAAGTAACAAATTCACTCGTCTTCCAAAATTAACGATCTCTAAATTTTATGGTGATTCTTCGGATTGGTTAGAATTCATAGGTCAGTTCGAAAATGCGATTGATAAAAATCCGAATTTATCAAAAATAGAAAAATTAATTTACTTAAAAAGCTTTCTTGGTGGCTCAGCCGCCAAAGCTATTTCTGGTTTCGCTCTCATCGAAAATAATTACGAAGCTGCTCTTGAACTGTTACGTTCCAGATTTGGTCAAAAGAACATCTTAATTAATTCGCATTTAGGACAACTCTTAAGTACTTCACCTGTTAGAAATCCTAATGATATAAACGGATTAAGAAAACTTTTAGATCACGCCGAAGTACAGATAAGAAATCTTGAAGCATTAAAAATAGACTCTGATACCTACGGAAATCTCTTAACGCCTTTAATTTTGAAATTACTTCCTAATGAATTCGTTCTTGATTATAGCCGAAAAATTAAAGACGAAAATTGGGATTTAAAAGGTTTGTTAGCCTTTTTGAGGAACGAAGTATTCAGTAGAGAACGCGCGGCTTCTGTTAATTATAATTCTAGAGAAAAATATTCGCGATTGGAAAAGCATTTGCCCTTCAAACATAAACATTCTCCAGCCATAACGAGCAAGCCGTCTACAGTTGAGTTATTAGCGGCGTCATCCGAATCGCAGTGTCTGTTCTGCGGGAACACAAATCATAAATCTGCGGATTGCGAATTTTAAGTGTAGAAAAAGAAAAAGGAGATCTTTAAAAGTGAATCGCGGTGTTTTTTATGTTTGGGTCGGATTTCACCGGATCCAAAATTGTAAACAAAAAATAAACTGTGCCTTCTGCTTTAATAAACACTCGAAAGCCATTTGTTATTCATTCCATCAGAAAAAAGATAATGAAAAACCTGAAAAGAAAACGTCGGATTCGAGCGTTAT